TTTGAAAACAAAATATGTTAACATATGAATTGTTTCTTTAATCCAAAACCTCAGTACTGTATTCAGGTTTAATTATAGTATTGGCACTTTGTAATAAATAAGTGGGTTCTGAGTTGCAATTTGGCACTCATCTCTAAAAGGCTCGCTACCATGGTACTAAATGCATCCATCTGGCTGAGGATCTTAACTGGGGCTTATTCTGGGGGTAGGCCTTATATTATGAGAATCCTGAAAAATCATGGTAGGGTGTATTTTCCAGTTAGGTCTCACTTGGAGGGAAATACAGCACATTTTCTGGCTGTTCCCATTCCATTTTCCCAAGAAAGACGGCACAAGGATAACCTGCCCAGAGTAACTGGGCTAGTGGAACAGTCCCACCTCCAGCCCTGTGCTGCTGTTGGCCTGTGGGTGTCACCTGGGCCTCTCAATATGTCCTATCTGGATCACATATCAGGGAAAACACCAGGCCAGGCAGAGAGCTGGCACTGTGACCCTATTGATGCTCCATGGAACCTAGTACGTTTATCATCAACCCCAAACTCTGGTTGGGGTTACCCTCCACTAGTAACAGCCTTAAGATCCACAACAATACAGTTGGGGTGAAGAAAGCTGAGGGAGCCCAGGTTTCTCCAGTCCAAGGATATAATCCTTCATATTCCCTGGAAGAAATCTGTGAAGAGTGAACATGAAAGCCATCAACGGATGTAGACCACTCCCTGGAGAAAGACAGGGCAGTGATGAAGAGATCTGCAGTTTGGGAGGGGGTGAACTGTAAGAAGGGTTCCTCTTTACCCCACCCCCTTCCATTGCTCCTCTCCTACAATTCTAGGCACCAGGACCATGACAGGAAGCTGGCGGGGCCAGAGGGCTGCTGCTTCAGCATGGGCATGCGCCTTGGCGGGGGGATGGGGGGATCACGCTGCTGCAGCTTAGCCTTGTCCCTGCTCCTTACCTCCTCCAGCAAGCAATAGACCCCTACTACTTCCTGTGCAACCTCAGCCCAGTGACCTCCGTTTCCAGCTCAGCCTGTATGCCAGCCCACTTCAGAGTAGTAACCACTTCCATTCCTTTGCTGGGTATCATCAATCTTGGAAAATAACCTTTATTCATTCTTTCCCAAGTGTCTTCTAACCCATCAACCTTAGTGCGATCTTCTATCTCGAATGCACCATCACTAGGCAATCAGGGAAGCACCAAGTTTTCCTTCCTGGGACCTCCACCCCAGCACTAGTCTTGGTAAGATCCTTCCTAGGAGGTCCCAAGTACCCAGATGGGCTGGACCAGGGCAAGAATGACATCTTCCACTGTGGCCCAGAGTTCCAAGCTGGGCTCCAGTTTCTCAAGAGGCAACGCTACCAGGCCATCCAACATAAGGGTAGCTTATGTAGGAGTCTGGGTTTTGGCTTGGCCACAGGATCAAGGACTGTGGGTCCCAGATCAGAGTGACTCCTAGCACAGCACTCACTCTAGTCACATTCCCACCCCTTCTGACAGCTAGTGGTCTGCCTCTAACAAACTTCCCACCACAGTCCCAAAACTAGAATCTCTCCACCACCACTGAATCACTTCAATCTGAGACTCTTCTGATTTGGGGAGGCCATCCCTGAGACAGCTAACAGTTAACTGGGGGAAGGGGATAATTTTATTTTTTTAATGTATTTTGGTACAGGTCTACAAGGTGTTCAGGGTCTCACTACATAGATCGGACTCGTAGTGATCCTCCTGTTTTCAGGCTCTCAATCGCCGGGATTACAAGTGCATACCACCATGCCCAGTCTTAATCACCTTATCAGCATGCCCCAGGAGTGGGGCTAGCACAGCATGCCAAGGATCAAACTCGGGCGCCGCACTCTGCCTAAGCAGGCGCTTTAATCTGCTGAGCTATCTGGCTGGCCCTTCAAAGAGTAATTTTAAAATGTTTGAATTGGCGCTTATTATTGAATGCAAGTCACGTGACTACACTGAACCTATTTCATCTGTTTTTTTTTTGTTTTTGTTTTTGTTTTTTGTGGAACCAAGGATTGAACTTGTGCTTGCCAGGCAAGCGCTTATTTTACTTAGCTATCTCCCCGGCCCCTTCATCTGCTTTTAAAACAAGGATACTAAAGTTCATCTCATGAAGACTTTAAGCAAATCAAGCTTATGTAACACCAGTTGTGGGGTGCAGAACAAATGTTTGGCCTTTCCTTAAACCTTTTCCCTAGTTATTTGCAACAATGAAGTGCCAGGGTTAGTATCGACCCCGTTTTTTTTTTGAGCAGCTATATTACCATGGGCTTTTAGGGAACTAGCCGCTTGTTAACAAGCCGAACTATTTCAGTCTTTTTTTTTTTTTTGGTACCAAGGATTGAACTCAGGACCTTGTGCTTGCCAGGCAGGTACTTAAGCCACTGAGCTATCTCCCTGGCCCATGCTGAATTATTTCATATTCCCCTTCTGTTGACTGGATTGTCAATCCAATTGTCTAGATTTAGGTACTATGCCAACAACTGAAATGTAAGAACAGGATTGGTTCTTTGAGGCAAATAGGCCTAACTTTATCAGCTGTGTGATGTCAGGCAAAGTTGTTCAGTCCTTAATTTTCAATTTCTTTGCTTGCAAAATTGGAGAAATACTGATGCTCATCTCTTTGGGTTAAGTGGGAATATACAGAGCAAGGAAGATAC